GTGGGGCTGGGGAGCGTAGGGGGCACAGGTTGGGGGGCAGGCCGGCTCCCAGCCTTGTGGCCGGGCCAGGTCGGGGGTGAGGGGCCTGGGGGCTGCCGCCACTCTCCCCAGAAAAGTGTTGGGAAGCTGCTGTGCTCCCTGGGCTGCCGTGAGTGACAGGACACCTGGTGCCCGGCCGCTTCTATTTCCGATGCAGGCATTCCTGGCCCCCCCACCCCGCGCCCTCGGCAGCTGTCGGCTCCGTCCACCCCAGCACAAGTGGCCTGTCCTGCCAAAGGCCCTCCGAGGCCCAGCACGCATAGTTTCCCAGTTAGGTCCCCAGCCGAGGGGCTGGGCCCCTGGGACGTTCTGAGAGTTGAGGACAGGCAGACATGGAAGCAGCAGCTGCTCCTAATCCCTTGGGGCCACCAGCCCATGCTTTATTTTTGGGAGTCACCTTCTAAAAGCACATGACACCCCATCACGAGCCAGGTCACCCCAGGACCCAGGACGCCGAGGGGAGCCGGGATCTGAACTCTTTTGCCTTCAGCTTCCTGGAGGGGCATCTGGAGTTGGGGTGTCTGCCCCCACGGACGCCTCCCAGGAGCCTGCGCACAGCACCCTGCCCAGGGTGCCTCAGGAGGGCGTGGGGAGGCACGGAGGGACAACGGCATTGCCCACTGGACCCCAGTGGCTGCCGAGCTCCCGAGGAGCTGCCAGGGGTCCGAGCGGGGCCCTGATGGGGTGGGGGCTGCTAACAAATGCCGAGAAGCCCTGCAATCTGCTTGTGCCCACTGGCATCTCAGGACATGGGCGGGCCGGCCGCGCCACCTCCTGGCCAGGCTGGCGGTGGCACCACGACTGGCGAAACAATTGCTCGCTCCCCTGGGGCTGTGCTTGCAGTGCCCACGCTCTGGCCCGCGGTGGCTGTGTGAGGGGCGGAGAGGCCAGTCTGTCTCCACACAAGCCTCGGGCACAGCCTCACACTCGCAGCACCGTGACGCGAGCTCAGGGTAGAAACTAGGACCCTGGCCCTCCAGCCCTGCCTCCATTCTGGAAGCTTCTACCAAGCCTGCTTCTGGGCTCTGCTGAGAGCCAGGGCAGATTGTTCTCAGAGAGTAGCGGTATCTGCCTGTCTCCGGGAACCCCGGACGGCGGAAGGGAGCAGTGCAGTGTCCGGGGTGGTCTTCTCTCCTACAGCCCGCTATGGCCGGGGTCTGCCGCACGTGCACATGCAGACCCCTGGCCACAGCCCATCCTGTCCGCATGGGGCAGTCACCCTCAGGAGCAGGTGCTGCCACAGCCCTTTGATCTGGGATACTAACCCCCCCTCCCGGTGCCCCTGCTGTGGGGCAAGAGCCTATTTGCTGGTCAGCAGCCCCTTCCTGGAAGTCTAGAGGGCATTCCTCACCATGCTCCCGCTGGCACTGGCCTCCTTGCGGCCCCCTGGCAGAGCTGCCTAGCTGCCCATCGCCTGGGACATGGTTAGATGCACAGGACCTTGTCCTGGCTCGGCCACTTCACACGACCACTCAGCCACACCACTGAGTCACAGGTGCCCTGGGAGTCTGGCCAGGGGGACAGGCTGTGGTCTCCATGGCACAGCACCCTCATCAGGTCATTGGGTCTTAGAAACCTGCTGGCCTCCCAGGCCGCTGCTGCTGCGACCTAGCCGAGGCCCAGGGTATGGGGAGCCACGAGAATTCCCGTGATTGGGGGGCCACACGCTGTCCCCCGCTCCTGGAGAGGAAGGGCCCCTTGCTTGTTCATGCACCCTTGCACACACACACGTTTGCACCACATAAACTCCCCCACACACGTGCAGCCACACGCTTGTCCACATGCACCCCCGTGTGTTCTCACATGGCGAGAAGTGAGGGCCTGGCAGCAGGCATGGGGTTCTGTGAGAGCTACAAATGAGGTCGCACACCGTTGGTGGCTGCCGTGGGATTTATCAGGATGGAGGCCCCAGCAGCTGGTGAAGTCCCAGCGAGGGGTGGGCACCTTGCATCCAGCCATCGGGGCTGTCGGGAACCCCCCACACACACCCCGCCCTCCTGTGAAGCGGAGGTGTGAGCCGACTCTGAGTGACCCTGCGCTGTCCCCACCGGAGGGGCGAGGGCCCACCCGGGGGGCCCCCGGAGGCTGAGATGCACCCACAGGGGCCTGGCTCCGCCCCTCATCTGACTCCTTCTCAGTGCCCCCATCTGGGACTCTGGGCAGTCCCTGTGCAGGGCCAGGGCAGCGGGCAGTGGGCAGCGTCTCCACCACCTGATCCCTGGGGTGGAGGGGAGGGCCTGAGAAGGCCAGCTCTGCCCCCAACCCCCACGCCACGTGAGCAGTCTAGCCTCGGGGAGCCCCCTGTAGGGCCCCCCGGTCGGTGAGGCCCACAGCTGTGTGGAGGCGGCCAGGGCTGGGAGGGGAGCGGGGCCAGGCCTGGCTGTCCCTGGCGGTCACAGCGCCAGGCCTCCAGCGCCTGCTCAGCCCGGGCCAATCAAAGCCAGATGTGGGGCTGATTGCTCTGAGCGGGAAATAATGAAGTGATCTGGGGGACCGGTGCGGGGGATGAGCTCAGATGGGGGTGGGGCGGCAGACGCTCAGCAGGGCGTTTGTGTGTGCGCATGCCTGTCCCCAGGGCCTGGCCTGGGCCTCCTCGGAGGGCTGGGGCTCCCAGGGTGGGACAGGGTCCCTTGTGAGGGGGAGGAATGGTGGGACGTGGCCACTGCTGGTGCGTGGCAGGCCCAGGAGCTGGAGTCAGAGGGGGCACTGAGGTGTGGGCTGGGTGCCCGGCTGGCCAGAGCGGCCCTCTTTCCCCAACTGTCGGCCTGCTGGGAGGACAGAGGGGAAGGGGGCAGGCCCCACATGCAAGTCAGCCCGGGTCTGCCACGCGCGAACCTTGCCCGGAACTTGTTCGCTCGTGCATTAATTCACTCATTCATTTCTTCATTTCCTCAGGAATTCAGTTCTCCACGTACTCTTATTAGGTTCCTTCGCTCGGCCACTCACTGACTCACCCACTTTGAATCATTCGCTCACTGTCTCACCGGTTTCAGACCCGGAGAAGGAAGAGGGCAGGAGTGTGTCCTTGGCTTGGGGGACTGTGCGGTCAGGGGCCCACCTGCTACCTAGGCCGTGGAAGCCGGAAAGCTGTGTGCATCCTGGGGCCGGGGCGGCTGGAGGCTGCGAACCCTTGAGCCCCGACACGGGGTTGGGAGGACGCAGCTCACGGCCGAGGTGACCCCTCTGGAGGTAGAGCCACAGCACTTGGGCACAAGGTTGTCCATGTGGAGCAGGAGGTGGGCCCCACGGACGGGACGCCAGCCAGAGGGGTTTCCATGCCTCCCGGGCACCTTGGTTCTTAGTTGGAGCTGTGGAGGGCCTGCAGTGGGGACCCAAGGGCAGGCCTGCTGCAGGGCAGCAGTGGGGGGAACCGTCCAAGCAGGAAGGGTGAGGGTGGCACCACGGCAGGGGCGGGGTGAGGCCGACGCCTGGCCAGTGCTGGCTGCAGCTGCGGGAGGCAGACCAGAAGGGGACATGACCGAGGTGGACATGTCTCCACATGGACATGACTCTGGGGTCCCAGAATAGCCGTTTTGAGGCTCCCCACCCCTGCCGTGCTGCTTGACACGGGGACGGACCCCAGGGGTGTGGGACGTAGGTGGTTCTGTGAGCACAGGTCTCCCTCTTTCTCCGCTCTAGTCACCCGCAGCCCTGGGGCCCTCAGGAAGGCTGGGGTGCAGGACGGGGCCTCCCCTTGAGGCTCTGGCTCAGCCGGCCCCGCTCGGCAGCGGCAGGAGGGGTGGTGCGCCTGCCTCGTGGCAGATGGATCACCGCCCCCACCCCCACCCCGGCCTGCTTGGAAGAGTGGAGCCGGCAGATGCCAGGCCCGGCGTGGGGGGCTCCGGGGAGGGGGAGGGGCTGACGGGCCTTGATGGACGGCGCCTCCGGCTGCGGCCCGTGCCCCAGCCGCTGGGAGGATGAAGGATGACCATCCAGCCCGGCCCGGCCTGCAGGGCCCCATGAATTATTTGTCTAAGGAAAGCAGCGTCGCCTCCATCTCCCTGGCCCCACTCCCTTTAAGTCAACACTGGGGGGAGGGGGCTGTGCCGGCCTTCACCCTGCAGCCCGGGGGTGTCCTGTGGGGCCCCTGCTGCCTGCGCCCCGGGTTAGCCTCCTGAGACACCCTTGGGGGCTGCAGGGAGGGGCCAGACCCTCACCCAGAGTTCATCAGGCAGCGTTGCAGCCAGGGGGCCCGGGGACCCCACTGCCGGGCAGTCCCTGGGGTGCCTGCGCCCCCGTCCCACGGGCGCCATGGCCTGCTCTGAGCACCCTAAGTCCCTCTCCTGCCTCTCCCCTCAGCTTCCCCCCGCCACACACAAATGGGCACACACACTCCTGGGGCACACACGTGTAGACGCACACACACACTTATCTCCCCCGTGGTTCTGGTCAGCCCATTTTTGACACGGGGGTGCCAGCAGGGTGCTGGTTTCGGCTGCCTTTTCTGGGTGGGCTCAGCACCCACAGCCCCAGCTGACTGAGCTCTCAGGTGCTGTCCATCTGTCCGCCCGTCCATCTGCACATCTCCTTTCTCCCAGACCCCTGCTGATCCCGCAGGCCTCACTGTGTGCAGTTGGACCCGGCGCCCCGAGCAGCCCCACGCTGGCCGCAGCCACCCCACAGCCACTGTGTCGCTAGTGGGCAGGGAGGGAGGCCCCCTCAGTCCGTGCTTACAGACTGGGGTCCACTGGGGATGAGGGCAGCTCTGCACGGGACATAACAGCCACGCAGACCCCAAGAAAAGTGGGGTGCCAGAGGCACTGGAACCGATGTGCTGTGAGGGCCGAGCAGCAAACCTTGCGCCAGGACACGAGAGCTGCGCCAGCCAAGGGGGCACTGTGCCCCGTCCCCACTCCAGCCCCTGGATCCCCGTTGCGGGTTCCAAGTGCAACCCCTTCCCCAGCCAAAGGCAGCAGCCAGGCCTGGGCCCACAAACAAAAAGTAATGCAGACTCCGATGGCTTCTCGGCTCAGCACGACTTTTATTGGAGCTGTCCCGGCGAGGGTGGGGGGTCCACCACCCATCACAGGCTGAACCAGCCGGGGACACCGCCACGCCGGGGGTCCACGCGCACGCGCTGCTGTTCCTGCTGCAGAAACTGCTCCTGGGCACCCTGCTCCCCAGCCTGTGGCGCCTTCTCGGGGAACAGCTCAGGGAAGGTGAAGGTCTGTCCGTGAGCCTGCGGGGGGCGGGGGGGGGACAGGACTCAGCACGGCGCCCGGGACCCCCGCAGCGGGGACGGGGCAGGGTCCCTGCCTGCAAAGCAAACAGCCAGCTGCCCTCCAGCCAGGAAGCCGCTTCCCCGGGGACAATGCCTCCTTTCACGGGTTCTCGCCTGCTCGCTCGCTCGCTCTTTCTCTCTCTTGGGCCTCCGCTCCAGGCCTGGGCGCCCTGAGCAGCCCAGCAAAGGGTCCATTCAGCCGGGCAGGGAGGCCTGGCCCAGCCCAGGACAGGAGTGAGGCGTGGAGAGACAGGGCACAAATATCAGCGGGTGCCATGCTAGAACTTTCCATCCCAAATACCTAGAGGCCTCCACCCACATGAAAGGAGGCCCCTCTCCCCCCACCTCCCCACCCCCAGGCTGAGCTTGGCACAGGAAACACACACGGCTACAGAGAGGCGAGCACGCACACAGCCCATGCATCAAGCCGGCTTTGCAATCCAAAGCTCCCAACGTGTCGGCGCCGGCCAAGTTCTCGGCCGAGGCCCCCTCCCCACCCCCCACTCCCAGCTCGCGGGTAGGGCCCCCGGTCGCGAGGAGGGGGAGGGGGCCCAGGCAGGCAGGCAGGAGGCGCCCCTGAAATCTGCTGACATGGCTGAGGAGCCCCCCGCCCCCCACCGGCCCTGGCTGGGCCTGCCGTGGACGGCTCCCTCCAGGACAATCAGCCGGGGCGCGGCCGCTGCAGACCCCGGCCTGGTCGGCAACGTGGCTGTGGGCAGCGAGCCAGCTGCTGTGCAAGGCCGAGGCAGCCCCAGGAGGGGAGGCCCGGGGCTGGGAAGGGAGGCAAGGGCCAGGAGAGGAGGCCCAGGGTGGGGAGCGAGGCCCAGAACCGGGAGGGGTGGCCCAGGGCCAGGAAGAGAGGCCGGGGGCTGGGAAGGGAGGCCCAGGGCCAGGAGGGGAGGCCGGGGGCTGAGCGTGGAGGCCCAGGGTGGGGAGCGAGGCGCAGAGCCGGGAGGGGCGGCCCAGGGCTGGCTCCTGCTTTGGGGTGAGGGTGGGCGAAGACTCGGGGTGACCCCGATGCAAACACGCAGCGCAGGGGCCCGAGTCGGGGTGCCCTGCCCCCTCCCCGTGCGGTCAGCAGCCCCATGCGCCGACTCTGTGTCGGCTCTCTGTCAAGGCGTGCTCTGTGCTGAGGGCGACGCTGGGGCCGGGAGAGGGGCCGACAGGTTTCCAGGGGGGCAGAGTGGGGCCCGGCCGTGGCCGCCAGCGCCCGCCATAAATCTGGTAACTTAATTTGTGTTTCCGACCGGCCCGCCGCGCTCCGTACAATGGGCTGCTATTCCAGGCCCCCCTCCCCTGAGGCGGGGGGGAAGGGGGGAAACCGCCTTCCCAGTCACAAATCCTGCTTGTGGGAGGGGGGCTGGCGCCCACCAGGGCCACGGTGGGCTCCGGGCCGCTTCCCACGGAGGAGACGGCTGGCGGCAGCTGCAAGCCCGCGCGGCCCGGGCTCAGCTTTCATGGGGGGCGGGGGCTCGGGCGGCCGAGGGGCCCCGTGTAACCGCAGCTGGCCGAGGGGCCCCCCGGCCCGGGCCCGCCGGACCCCCGGACGGCCCCGCGCGGCCGTGCTGCTGCGTGGGGTGGGCGCGGGCTCCCCGACACGCGGGCGCCCCGACACGCGGCCGCGGCCAGCCTTGCCCGGGGCGCCAGTGCCACCTAGCGGCGGGGCCGCCCGCGCCGGCGACGCCCAGCCCCCACCAGGGGTTTCAAATAGCAGTGGGGGCAGAGGAGCTGCAGGGCCGGGCCCCGGGGGCGGGCTGGGCAGGGCCGGCTGGGGGGCCTCCGGGTCCCTGGCCTTGTGAAATGTGTGTGTTTCAACAGAGACCGAAAACCTGGCCCTTCCAGCAAACAAAGCCGGGGACACACACACACACACAAAACACGGCGGCCAGCTCGAGCCTTGCTTGTCTGCGCTCTTGGCCTGGCTCCTCACACGCGTGGGCACAGCGACAGACCCCAGGCAGCCCCCCACAGGCAGCCCCCCACATGGGCTCCCCGCACAGTGCCCATGGGGGCTGGGGTCTGAGCGCTGAGCCCCAGCCTCCCCGCCACGGAGCCTGCCCCCCAGGACACTGGACTTTATCCTTGCAGAGCGCAGACCCACCAGGTGCGCAGGAGTGGCCGCTTGCCAGGAAGTCGTACGCGGGGGGCGGGTAGGGTGACCTTGCCCTGGCGCCCTGCGACCCCCCTGCCGCCCGCCCCTGTGCAAACACTCCCCAAGGCCCTGTGGGCTGCCCGGCTCACCAGCTGCACGTAGGCCACCTTGGAGTCGGGCTTCTTCACCCGCACGTTCCTGTGATCTCGCTTCCTGTTGCAGCCTGCGGGAAGTGGGGAGGGGGCAGCGCCTCGTGCCTGGTTCCCAACCCCCCTCCGGGTCACCCACCACGGCCTCCTGGGCCGGAGCTGCCCACGTGCAGTTCTTTGTTTAAAATTTTTTTTTAAAAAAATTGTGAAACTGTTAACAAGAAGAAGAAAAAAGTTCATCTCTTGTTAAAAAATAGAAAAACTACAAACCTAAACCGTGTGCACAGTAACCCAGAGGTGCCTCCTCCAGCCTGGCACCTCAGGCCCAGGCAGGAGGGTCCATGCCAGTGAGGCATGGAGGGCAGCGGCAGCGCTCTGTCCCCCAGCACAGTGCCCAGAGCCCAGCTCCTCGCAGGCAGCTGGCCCCGGGCCCCCTGGGAGGCCAGAGGAGCTGCAGGAGCCCTGGGTCAGCGAGCCGGGGATCCGCCCGGCCACTCACCATGCTGCACCCGTGTTCGCACCGCCGCCACGGGCACGTTGTAGATGCTCTGCAGGTAGTTCTTCAGGTCCACCCTGGTCATCCTGGGGGGCAGGGGGCCTCAATGAGCCCTCCCCACCCAGGGAGGCCCAGGCAGGGAGACACGGGGCCCTCACTGTCACAGACGAGGGGGGACCCCTCCCAGGGCTCAGCCTGGCTGGGGAGAGCTCAGCACGGCACGGGGTGCCCACGCCTCCTCCTCACCGTAAGCCTGTCACTCTGTACCCCGCCATCTGACCCAGCTGTAAGCTCCCCAAATTCAGGTGCCCATAAGCCCCACACCCAGCATCCTGGATGCTGCTCCAGCTTCTGGGCTGGTGGCAAGCATCAGCCAGGGCTAGGCACAGGGTGCCAGCCCGGGGAGGGGAGGAAGAGGCCAGGGGCGCATGTCCAGGAAGGACCCCAGTTTGCTGGCCACGCTGGGCCATGTGCCAGACACCCCCTCAGACTCCACCCACTCCCCTCCTCTCTGGCCTTACTCCATGGGGATCTGGAACTGCACAGTGTCCTCAGGCTGCGCCGTGCCAGGACGCACCAGCCGGATGAAGAAATTGGTCCGAAATACACGGAGCTGGGGGCCCCCCAGCTGGTACAGGGGGTACCTACACAGGACAGATTGGGGTCTCAGTAAAACACATGGAAACAGACTCCCCATGGCAGTGAGGACATGGGGGCTGCTGACCCGAGGCCAGCTTGGCATGGCCAGTGCTGTCTCCCCATCTCCCTGCTTTCCTGCAGGACAGTGTGAGCTGAGTGGGCGTGGGAGGGCAAGGAGGGCTCCTCGCACTGTTCCACTATGTCCAGAGGCTGGCAGCACCACCTGCCTCGGCCAAAGTGGGCAGTCCACGCCCCGGGGGGTGGAGGAGAGGACGGTCAACCCGAGCATCACACAGTGGACCCAGGGGCCACCCAGAAGGCCCAGCTGTGCACATGGTACACCTGGCACCATGGCATAGGAGGGGGCACAGACGTTGGTCTGAGCCCTGGGAAGGCATACCCACAGGCCTCGGAACCTGGCAACGGGTGTTTGGGCAGTTACCCTGAGCCTTGCCCTTGGGGTCCACCTGAACCCTCTGCTGCTGTGGGGCAGGGTCGTCAACGGCCCAGCCCTGGTTAAATGGGTGTGCAATGGCCTGTAGAGACCCGTCTTCCTCTTGGACGCTGAGGGGTGGCTCAGGTGGGGTGGGGCTGGACTTCAGGCTTGTAGCTTTATAACACACCGGTTCCCTCCCACCAAAACCCCAAAAGAGGCCCAGGGTGACCCCTGGACCACCCTGAGGCCTGACATCCACATTGGCCGACTCAGCCCATCTCGGGCCTGACCGTTCCCCAGATCCCTCAGAACTGCCCTCCAACTGTTGGCCAGCGGGGTCCCCTCCCCAGGCACGGGTGTGTGTGTCGGGGGTGCTTCCCGGGGCACTGCCCATCTGGCGGAAGCCACGTGGAGGCCTGGGCAGTGCCCCGGGCCCACATTCACTCTCAGCTCTGCAGCAGGGCTGCAGGTATCTGGGGCAGTCCTGCCCGACACGGGCACGTGCAGCTGGGGGGCGCGCACCGAGGCCCTGGACACCCCGCGCCGGGGGCGCGCACCGGGGCCCTGGACACCCCGCGCCGGGGGCGCGCACCGGGGCCCTGGACACCCCGCGCCGGGGGCGCGCACCGGGGCCCCGTTCCGGCCTCTGCGCGTCCCCGCCCCGCGGGCCCCGCCCCCGCACGGACCCCCACTCACAGCACGTTCCGCGCCATGGAGCCGCGGCGCTTCCGGGTCGGCGGCGGATGGAGTGGTTCCCGCCCCGCGCGGCGACGCCCGGACAGCGCCCCCTGGCTGCAGGAGGCCGTCCCCTGGGCCCGCACCGCCCCGCACCGCCCCGCACCGCACGTGCTCTATCTTCCTCTGGCGGGCTCCCATCCCTGCCAACATCCGCCCTGCAACCACTTCCCCACACCCCTGAACCCGAAACCCTACAAGACCCAACGCAACTCCCCTGGCCCACACACTCGGGGTCCCCACGCCAGTCAGCCCTGACTGCCGTGCGCGTGGACGGGGAGGTTTGGGAGAGCTGCCCGACCTTTGGGTTTGAACAGCCTAAGAGCTCAATCAGGCCAGTGCCCACCCTGCCGGTCCCTGGGGTGGAGGTTCATCTGGTGGAGGGAACAGGGAGGAGCCAGCAAAGAAGGGGCGACAGCGATGGGGGTGGGGGGAGCAGCCTTCTGCCCTGAGGGAAGGGGCTTGAGAGGTAGGGTCCGTGCCCTGGGGCTGGGGACCCAGGAAGGAAGCTGGGGCTGGGTAGGGGTTTGGGGGTCACAGGCTTCACCAAGGGACTGAGCCTCTAGGTGGCTGTCTTCCAGCCCAGGATGGCTGGACGCTGGGCACTGCCTGGATCAGATGGGAGCGGTGGGGCTGGGGCCTGAAGGGGATGGGGTCCCTCAGCCAGGTCCCTGCTTCTCCAGGCTGGAAAGCCGTGGGGTCCGCCATGTGGCTTCCTCCCTGCCAGGTGAAATAGAGCAAACCCAGACGGATTTGACTCTGGCTTTCCTTTTTACACACTTTCAATCAATTAATTTATTTTTAGAACAGTTTCAGGCAAGCAGGCAGAAGCCAGGGCTCCTGGAAGCTCTCAGAATGGGGTGGCTTGTGAGCCCTCAGCCCAGTGGGCAGGGTCCCTTGCCCACTGCCTGTGTCCATGGCAAACACAGCAAGGCCACTGGCGGGAGCGCCCCTGGGACACTGAGAGCTGGCTGCCCAGCCTTGGTTTTTCTGAGGTGTCCTTGAGTGGGAGCCAACGGTGAGGCCTCTCAGATCCTCCCAGGTTTGGGTGTGCAGGGGCTGAGCGGTGTGAGCGGTGACCGGTAGCATGGCCGAGGCGCATGCCACACAGGATGGACAGATGAGGGGAGAACAGGTGCAGCTGTCACATCACAGTGGGACAACCGGGACACCTCAGCCAAGAGACCAGGATGCAGGGGCTGCCGGACAAGGGCTGCAGCTCTGAAACCCGTGGTGGCCCTGTGGACACAGGACTGGGCCTGGCGTAGACCTGGGTGGACGTGATACTGAACTCGCTGTGGACCTGGCTGGACATGAGCTGGAATTCAGCAGATGTGACACTGGGTGGGTGGTGGCGGCCTGACCAGGAAGCTCAGCCAGGCCTGTCGGTCCGGATTCTTCTCGGTCCCGCCACGGCCACTGCCTCCCCGGGGCGCTCCCAGGACCGCTCCCAAACACAGCCCTCTGGAGCTAGGGTCCACCGTCACACAGGGCAGGCAGGGCCTCGCTGGGAAGTGAAGCCAAGGCTGCTGTCAGGGCCGGGAGGCTCAACTTGGGGGTGCAGAGGCCCCGTTTCCCTGGCCTGCCTGGGCGGAGTGGGGAGCAGGAAGAGACCCCGCAGGGAGTCTGGGACACAGGGAGGGCTGTGCAGGTGGGCGGCGGTACAGGAAGTCCCTGCAAGAAACCAGCCACAGCACCATGCAAGCACCCAAGTTTCCAGCTCAAATGGGATGCAGACAGCTGGGCCCTGTGCTCAGAGGGGGCCTGGGGCCACTGGAGCAGGGACATCAGGAAGCCCTGGGGAAGGGCCTGCGTTGGGGATTCTCCCCTCTACCCCTGATGGTCAGGCAGCTGAGTTAGTAGGGCAGGAGGCTTGGGGCCTCGGAAGCAAGGTGCAGAGGGGGGGATACGGGGGCCCCATCCCGCGCCTGTTCAGTGGGTCACTGCGGGAAAGGGTCTCGCAAGAACAGGCATTGCTGCCACCTGGCTTCTCCCTCTGACGGGGAAGAGAGTCTCCCACAAGGGTGGCAGGGCCTGAGCAGCCAGGACGGGAGTCAGTGCTCCTCCGGGGGCCCTGGTGTGTCCCCATTAACCTGCCTTGGGCCTGTCCTGCTGTTCCCCACGGTTTTGCCCATGTACCTGCTGCTAGCGTTTGATGCCTCGGTAGGCACTTGGCACAGCTGTGGAGTCACCCTTGCAGGAGGCACCTGTGTCCCAAACCAGAGTGCCTGGGTTCGAAGTCCCAGCTTGGCTGCTTCTTTTTCTCTTAAATTTGAAAGGCAGAGTTACAGGGAGGAGAAAGAGAATATCTTTCATCTGTTGGTTCTCTCCCCCAGTAGCCACAACAGCAGGGCTGGGTCAGGCTGCAGCCAGGAGCCAGGAGCTTCTTCCAGGTCTCCTACGTAAGTGCAGGGGCCCAAGGACTTGGGTCATCTTCTGTTGCTTGCTCAGGCCAGAAGCAAAGAACTGGATGGGAAGTAGAGCAGCCAGGACTTGAACTGGCACCACTTGGCATGCCGGAGCCATCGGCAGTAGCTTTACTCGCTATGTACAGTAGTGTCCCTCTGCCCTGACTCCTTACAGCTCCCTGCTAAGGCACCCTTGGGGGACAGCAGGCAATGGCTCCGTCCTCGGGACACTGCCAGCCACACGGGCGAAGCTCCTGGCTCCGGTTTGAGCCTGGCTGAGCTCTGCTTGCCGGTGGCATTTGAGGAGTGAGCCGGCAGCCGAGGGATCCCATCTCCCACCCACCCTGCACTGCTGTTGGAATTGTTGGCCCACTGCTGTCTTAGATGGGGCATCCTCTCCCTGTTGGTTTTTTTTTTTTTAAGATTTACTTATTTTTATTGCAAAGTCAGATATATATATATAGGAGGAGAGACAGAGAGGAAGATATTCTGTCCCAAAGTGACCGCAGTGGCTGGAGCTGAGCCAATCTGAAGCCAGGAACCATGAGCTCTTCTGGGTCTCCCACATGGGTGCAGGGTCCCAAGGCTTTGGGCCGTCCTCCATTGCCTTCCCAGGCCCAGGCAGGGAGCTAGATGGGAAGCAGGGCCGCTGGGATTAGAACCAGCGCCCATGTGGGATCCCAGTGCGTGCAAGGTGAGGACTTTAGCCACTAGGCGACTGCGCCAGGCCCTCCCTGTTGGGTTTTGAGGGCTCTTTATTGTTTGGGGCTAGATCTTGGGGCTCTGGGTCAGCACAGGGTCCCTCTGGGCCGGGACCTCCTGCTCCCCTGGCAGCTGCGATTTGCGGAGTAGGTGGGAGAGTTAATTTCTTGTTTTGCTGTACCTGCAGGGCTGAGAGGGGTTTGGTGTGCAGTGAGCTTTGCCTGCGTGGAGGTTGGGTTGGGTCATTGGCCCTCATGGTTTAAGTTTTCCACTGGGGTCTGTGAGCCTCTCGGGGGTGGGCAGTTGTTGGGCACAGGGTGATGGCTTTGGGGGTTCTGCAGGATTGAGCACTGAGCAGTGGGGTGTCCAGACCAGCTGTTGACCTGGCTGCCCAGGGGCCTCTGGTGTTTGGAGCCACTGGGCGTGGGCGCTGACAACCCGGCTGGGCCCTGCGCCGGCAGTGAGCGCACGGCAGCTCGCTGCAGGCAGCCTCCCACACGGAAGCTTTCTGGGCATCAAGATGACTTACAGGCACTCCTAGGATGCCATGCTGATTGATGTCAGGGGCGCGGCGGCAGGCACTGGCGTCAGTTAAGGGTGCAGGCGTCCGGCCTGGGCCGGGGTCCCATCCGGCACGTCTTGTCTGAATTGTTTGAAGATCTGAAGAATGTCGAAAATAAACGGTGGTGCCAGCACGCGGGCATCTTTGCAGAGTGCGGGCATGTGGGGGACGGGAAGGAATGTCTTGTGGACAAGGGGAAGGCCCCTGAGAAAGTGCTTATCTCGGATGGCCAGGCTCGGCCGACCCCATTCATTGCTTCCCGGCTCCAGCCCCGCCTGGCTCTGGGCACGGGAGCTGGCCTCCTGCGTCAGCGGCCTGCACAGTGCGGATGGATTTCGGAACCGGCCCATCCAAGTCTGCGGGTGGAGGGGTGTCAGCGTCCCTGACCCACGCATGTCTGCGGTGTCCCTCCCCACCCGTGCTGAGCTCAAGTGGCGTTTTGCATGTTGCACTGTGTGCGTGTCTCGCCCTGCCAGGTATCCCCCCCCCCGCCCCCCCGTGCAGGTCAGCTGCACCCCAGGATGCTGACGTGCACCCGGTCAGCTTCCCCGAGCCGGATCCTGCAGCTGTCTTATCTTTATTGCCTGCTTTGTTATGGGCTCCATCGCGTGAGGTGAGCCGTGTGCCCTCACTGCCCAGAGCCTCCCCGGCGCGGCACTGGGTGGGGGTGCCTTACGTGGGGTCTCCCACCGGCCCCCTTGACCAGGCTGGGGAAGGGCACTAGGTTCCCCCATCGAGTCTTTTCCCAACAGCTCTCTCTGCTCACAGGTGTGTGTGCCCCTTTGTTAACACAGACCTCTCAGAGCCTGGGCCAGGCCGCTTGCAGTTGGTCCCCAGGCCCTGGCCCTTCCCATGCTGTCAGCCTGCGCCTGCCTGCTCAGCCTCCACTTGGCGTGTTTGTACTTCTGCTTGCTTCTTTTCTTTTTTTCAAATTATCTTTAGTGCAAAGGCAGTTACGGAGATAGAAGGAGACAGAGCTCTTCCATCTGTCGGTGCATTCTACAGATGGCCGCACAGCTCAGGGCTGTTCCAGGGACTCCCCGTCTCCCGCACAGCTCAGGGCTGTTCCAGGGACTCCCCGTCTCCCGCACAGCTCAGGGCTGTTCCAGGGACTCCCCGTCTCCCGCACAGCTCAGGGCTGTTCCAGGGACTCCCTGTTTCCCGTGCGGGGGCCGACCTCCTCTGCTGCTCTCCCAGGCCTTAGCAAGGAGCTGGGTCGGAGTGGAGCACCAAGGCGGCGGTGCCACAGGCTGAGGCCCGGCCTGCTCTAGCGTGGCGCGAGCCCCCACACTTTGGTTTCTGAGGGCCACGTGGGCTCTGGTGGCAGTGCCGGGGCTGCTAGGGCCTGGGCGTGTGGGTGAGCTGTCGCTGCTCGCCGTGTTTGAAGCGTTGGCCACCGTGCCGAGGGAAGCCAGGTGGGCCCGGTGGTTGCCCATGGCAAGGAGTCCCCTGCCCACCTGCCCCTCTGCCTGGGTGGGAACTAGCGTCCTCCGGCTGGGCCGGCTGGGCACACAGGACTCGCTCCTCCTCCTGGCAGCCCCTGGGGCTCAGGGGGGCCACCTCCCTGCTGCAGGGTCTTCTTCACACTGCCGTGCCCTCCTGGGACAGTGCCGTTCCCAGAGAATCCAGCTGTGGCTTTGTCTTTTAAAATTTCTGCTATTATTCCTTGGTTTTCTGTTTCCTTGGTTTCTGCTTGGTCTGCGTGGTTTCCCTTCTTTGTTTTCCATTGGGATTAACTTGTAATTTTTTAAAAAACCAAAGCCCTAAATTGTTTTTCCAATTATTTATTTGAAAGACAGCTACAAAAAGAGAGAGGGAGGAAGGTCCGTCTTTGTCTGGGTAGTTTATGCCACAGATGGTCTCCACAGCCCACACTGGGCCAGGCCAAAGGCAGGAGCAGGGGCCCCGTCAGAGCCCCACGCGGGTGCAGGGGCCCAGGCACCTAGGCCGTCCTCTGCTGCTCTCCCAGGCCACGAGCAGGGCAGTGGACGGGAAGTGGAGCAGCCGGGACATGAACCGGTGCCTGTACACAGCGATGGCACTGCAGGCCAAGACTAAGTGTGCTGTGTTAGGATTTGGGGAGCAGGTCACTTAATGCCATAGGCAGCTTGGCTGAGTCCCCCCACTTCGGGGCCACCTTTGGTGCGTCTCTGTCCGTTTGGTCAGGATTGGATGGTGCTGAGCGTGTTGGCGATGTACATGGGCGCTGGGGTGCCAGCTGGGAGGCAGTGCTTTCCGACCTGGCTCCAGGCTGGGCACGGTGGGGTGGGGTGGGCCTGGGAGGCCTGCGAGGGCAAAGGGCGGGTAGGTGGGGTTGTGGGACCAGGACACATTCCTTTCCCTGGGAGCCTGCAGCCTGGGTCCCAGGCACGCCCGCTCCCCACTGCCCTCTATCACGGGCTGCACCTGGTGAACCTCAGCAGCCTTGGCCCTCCCAGACCCTCAGCGTGCCCGCAGAAGTGTGCAAGGTCCTGTGCCCTGTTGTTCCCTGTCTGGTGGGCGGCAGAGGGCGAGTCCACCTCTGGGGTCAGAGTGGGGAGCTGTGGCTGCGTTGGCCAGCAGGGAGAGCCTGGGGGAGCTGGCACAAAGCCGTCCAGGCTCTGTTCTGGCCTGAGATGAGGGTCTTATACCCTGGACTCCCTGGTTCTCCTGCGGTGGGCCTGATCTCTGGCCAGAGTGTTGGGGTGCCCACCGTCTGTCCCCACCCTTGGGGGCCCAGCCTCCAGCTGTGGTGTGAGTGCTGCAGGGGGTCTGGGGAACTTTGGGGAACGTTGGTGTGCCCCTCTTTCCCTCCTGCCTGAGCTCTCTGCTCTGGAAGCCTCCGGATCCCACCACCCAGCAGCTCTGTACTGCACCACCAGGTTTGGGGCTCCCCTCTCCACGTATCAGGCCAGCTCATTTGTGTGTTCATTTATTTTTAAAATTTCGGTTTGCTATTTCCTGTTGGAGCTGGCCGTGTTCAACAAGCACTGTGGATTTCTGCCTACCCCCGCGTGCACACTCGTGGGGCCGGGACCAGCATTGGGAAGAGTTGTGACCCAGGCCTGGCCGCTCTGTGCTGGGCTCGGAGACCGCAGCCCCGCGCTCTCTGCCCGGTGGGCGGTGGGGAATCATAAAACGTCTTGATTTACGGGTTGTCTGTGCATCTGGCGGCTTCCCGAGCTGCCTGCTTCCTGCCGGAGCCTCTTCCGCTCGCCCTCCCGGGACCCCTGGAATGCAGCTCTGCCTTTGCAGAGGCGCCCCGTCTCCTTTCCACCGCACGGCCCCTGCATTGTCCTGCGTCTCCAGCCCAGGCCTCAGGCGTTAATGGCAAAAGCAGACATCTGTCCGCGGTGGGTTCCCGGCCTGGGCAGGACGTGCCGCGTCCCCCGGCCAGGCTGATAAACTAAACCCTTTATTTATAGTTGTCTGCAGTTTCTTGGGCTTTTGTTTTTTGTTTTCCAGGGGTTGAGAGCTGCCCTGTTTCAGATAAACCAGAAATTTCGAGAAAAAAAAAAAAACAACAACAATGGGAAGGCCCTCTCACCCCCCACCCTGTCACAATGACCGTCCCAGCAGTCTGTTCTCCGACCCAGACATAAGGGATGCGTCTTTTAAATAGACAAATGTTTTAAAGTGGCTTTTAGTTTTATTTTTCTTTCCAGCCCCACACCTCCTGGCATAGCCCGCAGTTCCCCCCAGCCGGATTCAGGGGTTCTAGCTGCCCTGGGACCCCTCTGATTACACCCTGCCTACCCTGTGGGATGCTTGGTGATGACCCACAAGGTCTTCGGCCTGCACCCCGGGCTCTCCCCGCCATCCAGCACTTTGGGCTCCGTGCAGCTCCCCGCACCCCCAGCTTCAGGCTGCAACCCCTAAGGAAGACGTGTGATCCCCACGCTGTGATGAGCTGTCCATCCCGGGCAGCCAGCCCCTTGTGTGTGGCTGTGCATGGCTGAAAGGGAGTGGGGGGTCCCCAGGGTCTGGGTTTACCGGGCACCTGGGATTAGGGTTCTGTTGCTGGCTGAGACTCGCCGATCTGCCCCACTACCAGTGGGAAAGGTGGCACCTGTGTGTGTCTGCCTCACATTCTGACCCCACTGGCGAACTGAGGCTGGAACCCTGGCCATGTGCTGCACCCTGTCCCGTGCCCTCCACCCCCCGAGCTGGGGCTCTCAGAGGACGTGTTTCCTCGCCCTCTGACCTTGGCTTCCGTCCGGCTCATCCGATTTCTAACCCTTGGCCCCCTTTACCCGCTTTCCCCTGTGGGCCCCTTCCGGCCCTTGCTGCCTGCCCACATCCACACCGGACTCAGCCTGTGTCCCCTCCCACAGGAAATCCTCTGCGGATGTCCAGGGCTGCCTATGCTGACCAAGGTCCCCCCAAGAGGCCTGGCTGTGTTCAGGTCTTCTGGCCAGGCTGTGCACCTGTGCGTGGAGAACCCAGTCCTGTCCCACCCTGGCCTCCCCGAGCCCCTGGGACATCGGTCTCCTGAGCTGGTCCCTGGGGTGGACATCCATCCCCCAGGAGACCCACCAGGGCTAACCCAGCCCACCTCCCCTGTCCCACCAGGGCTCCCCCAGGACACAGAGCATACAGCACACAGAAGAGGGGTCTGAATTTTATTCACAGACCCTGGGGGATGGGAGCCATGAGGACAGAGACGGAGTATGTGTTCTGGGGTGGCCCCTGCACCCTCAGGATCCCCCCGGAGACCCAGGAGGAGCCAGGGCGCGGGCCTGGGAGGGTCTCCGCCGTATGGGGCTTTTCCAGTTCCATCACTTCCAGCGTCCTCCGACCTTGCCCTTGGCAGTGGCACCAGCCTTCTTGCTGCTGTAGGCGGGAAGTGAGTTGCTCTTGAGTGCCAGGCCCCGGCTGAGCCCCCTCCCTGGTCCCTGCTTCCCGGGCACAGAGCAGGCTGCAGCGAGAGTGGCAGCAACTCACCTGTGCTTGGCTGGTGGGGGCGTACCTGGACAGTTAGTGTGGTTAGGAGCGTGGCCGGCTCAGCTGTCTGGGGACCCTCCCTGTATGCCCCCTGCTCTGCCTTGCTGGTGACCATCACTGTCCCAGTGATGCCACGTGGCTCGGGGTGGCAGCCACCAGGGGTCGGGTGACGGTTAGCCGGGAGGCTGCCACTGGGCTCCCCAAGACCTCTGGGCTGCCCAGGCCAATCCCTTGGACACATTGCCGTGCACACACACTCACACTCACACACATGCACAGCCTCTGTAAGGGGCCTGTACCGACCCCTGCCTGCACAGCAGTGGCCTGGGGGGCAGAGGACTGTGGGGTCACCACTACACCACCCCCTGCCCAGAGGAACTAGGGCTTAGCAGTAGTGGTGGGGGACAGAGCCCCCAAGTTGCCCTGGGGGACACTGCACTGGTGTGGCCTCTGGGGGGGTCCTGATGTGGGAGAAGGAGGTATGGTGACTACAGCTGTGTCACGACCATCCTTGGGGCAAGGCTGGCTGGCAGGCGCCCGGGAGACCAGTGCGATCCTCAGAAAGCCCTCCGCCAGCACCCCCATCTTAGGCACTCCTCGTGTGCAGGCAGGGGAGGCAGTCCCTGAGCAGCAGGCCTAACCGTGCAGGTCCCATGGGGCGTGGGGTGGGCTGGTTAGTCTTGTTACTGCTCTGCCCAGGGCCGGCCGCGCAGGTGCTCGGCTCAGTGGCCAGGCCCAGGTGGGCAGGTGGCGCGGCCGGCCCCTGTGGGAGAGCCAGGGTAGGGGTGGAGCTACTCACTGCTTCTGTGCCTGGTCGATGCGGCTCCTGAGGTTGGTGATCTGCGGAATGACACGGGACTCACTGGGACCAGGCTGGCAGGGCCAGGCCTGGCGCACGTGCAAGAGGCCCGGCCTGGCCCAAGGTTGGGCGGCTCCGGCCCCTCACTGGCTCCTGGCTGCTCGGTCCTCAGGTGAGCTGGCGTCTCCGACTAAGGCTGGCCTGAGCTGGCCCCGGCTCCCACACACAGCCGCCTGGGAGCCGGCCCTTACCTTCCGGCCTGCGGCAGGCCGTGGTGGGGGCACTGAGAGGAATGGGCAGCTGGAGGCCAGGCCCGCAGAACCCTCCTTCTAGCCTGGACCCTGGGGAGGCAGCTCTCTGCCCCTCGTCCCAGGGCCTCCGCCTCCTGACTTGGTGGCCCTGGGCAACAATCGGCCTGGGAGCCACGGTCCAGGCAGAGGGAGACACTGGCTTGAGGAGGAGCGGAGCCTTGCCGGCCGTGCCCCCGCCTCCAGCGTCCTCTGTGACCTTGAGTTTTGCCATGCAGCACACACTGCCAGCCCGGCCCGGGGCGGGCCTGGCTACTTACAACTTGGCCAGCATCTCCACTCTGGCCCGGGCATTCATGATCTAGAAAGACCGAGATGGTTACGGGGCTGGAGGGGCGGCTGGCCCCTCCGTGTGTGGGGACGGCCAGGCTGTGCCCTTCCGGGCCCCTGAGAGCCTGTCTGGGGGCCGTGGATGCTGTGAGGCAGCCTGGAGCGGAGGACACGCACCCCCCCACCCCGGGCACCGCTCCGGACACAAGGAGGGAGCGAGGAGATGGCTGCCCTGATTCTGCTGGAAGAAAGGAAGAAACGGAGGCACAGACTGGCCATGGGACTTGCCCTCAGCCCGAGGAGTGGCCAGCCAGTGGCCCCCGGGCATGCCTGTGTCAGGGGTCCCAGAGTGCCCTGTGCAAGGAGGCCGAGCACCCCGAGTGATAGCCACCCTCCCTGTGCCCCGCTTTTGGGCAGCCTGAGTGGCAGGCAGTGGGGCATCAAGGGCCAAGTGGGGGGCCTCAGGTGAGCCAACCGCCAGGCCTGCTCCTGCCTTGGAGCCCTGAGCCCCTCTCGCCCCCGCCTGCTGCAGCCCAATGCCTTCTGAGCTGACTTGGGGGGCCTTTGCCCAGGCCAGAGGGGGCTCATGAAGTGGACCCTGAGCTGGCTTTGCTAGGGCCATGCCCTCACAGTGGAGTCAGCCAACGCTGCCTCGCTCTGGGACCCAGGGACCACAGCTTTAGCTGGTGAGGGTGGGGGGAGGATCTGCGGCCCCTCGCCTCTCGCCTTCCCCCAACTGTCTGCCGGCAGGTGCAGCCAGCAGGGCACTCTGAACTTACGTCGTATTTCTGGCGTTTCAGTTTCTCCCCGAACTCAAACTTGTCCGTCTCCAGCTGGTAAAGAGTGTCCCAGAGCTCCTTGGCCTTGTCCCTGGGGGGCGGGGCGAGGGTGCCAGGCTGGCTGAGTCCCCGGCACCCCAGGGCTGTGGGGGCCAGGCTGGCTGAGTCCCCGGCACCCCAGGGCTGTGGGGGCCAGGCTGGCTGAGTCCCCGGCACCCCAGGGCTGTGGGGGCCAGGCTGGCTGAGTCCCCGCACCCCAGGGCTGTGGGGGCCAGGCTGGCTGAGTCCCCGGCACCCCAGGGCTGTGGGGGCCAGGCTGGCTGAGTCCCCGGCACCCCAGGGCTGTGGGGGCCAGGCTGGCTGAGTCCCCGGCCCCCCTGGGCTCTGGTGGCCAGTGAGGTGGCCCTCACCTCAGCTTGTCGTCATTCAGGTGGTCGATGTTGAGCGGCTTGCGTCTTTCCGCCAGGATCTTCTTCTTCATCTCCCGGGCTGTCTGCTTCTTACCTCTCTTCTGGTCGGCCTGGGGGGCAGAGGCTCTCAGGAGTGGCCTCTGGCACCTGCCCTCCCTCCCCTGGCACGCGCGCCGGCTCACCTTGGCCAGGTAGCTGCTGTAGTTGGCACCCATGGAGGACAGCGCCTTCTTCTTCTTCAGGTCGTCTTCAGCCCTGCGCTTGGCGTCTTCTTCCTCTCGGCGGGCCTTCTCCTCCTGTGGAGACCCGCCCCCATGACGGTCAAGGGCTGCACCTGCCTGGGTTTAGAACTTTCTGGAAGGGTGCTCCAAGCTCCTCTGTGCTCTGCCGTGGGGCGGGGGGCAGGCTCACCGCCAGCCTGTTCTGGCGTTCTCTCTCTTTCTCTGCCCGGATCCTCTGCTGCTCTGCTCTCTCGGCCCGGCGCTTCTCCTGTGGGCAGAGTGGGCGCTCAGCAGGGCCCGGCCCACCCCACCTGGCCCGGCCTGCCACACCTGAGCTGCCACTCACGATTCTCTCCTTGAGGGCCACTAACTCCTCCTCCTCCTTCTTGCGTGCCTCAAAGTGGCTGTCAATGAGCGCCTGCAGCTCCATGAGGTCCTTGTTCTGACGCTTCTTCTGGATGTCCTGTGAGCGGGACGGGTCAGTAGCCCCCTGGCCGTGCGGGCACAGCCTCCTTCCCGGCCACATGGGCACAGCCGCCAGTGAAACAAGGCCCTCATCATGGGCCCACGGCTGTTGCCTTCCCGTCCCCACTCCAGCACGGGTCCTACAGGGTAAGCGTGACCATCTTCCTATGAGAAGCCCTGGCCTGGCCTGGCCGTGAGGCAGTCTCTTCACACACCCCACGGGGCCTGACAAAGAGGTGCCTGTGTGCACAGAGGGGTGGTGGCTGGACAGGCGGATGGATGAGCAGAGGGTGGATGGACTGTGGATGTCTGTGTGGATTGTGGACGGGTGGATGAAAGGAGGGGGTGGCTAGAAGTGTGATGGAGGAATGGCTGAACGGTTGATGGATGGATAATGGCTGGGCAGACAAGTGGGTGGATGGAAAGCAGATGGGTGAGTGGTATGGATGGGACAGCTGTTCTTAGGGGAGGTCCCTCTGATGCAGGAATGAATTATGGCACAATTGCCTGGAACCAGGAGCGCCCTGCTCTGGCCTGTTGAGAGCAGGTGACCTCCGGGGGCCCGGGCTGAGGCCCGGGCAGGCCAACGTGTTGGTGTGGGTGACTTACATCAAAGTCTACTTTCTCTCCTTCTGGAATCTTAGGAGCAGTGAGCCTGGAGGGAGAGAGCGACTCCTGTGAGCAGGCTGACCGGACCCAGCCGACCCAGCCTCACTCGCCCCGGGCTGGGGCCGCTGCCCTCATGCTGTGCCTGAACGTGGCTTTTGCCAACTGTATGGCACTGCCTCTTGCACGCCGAGGTCCTGCGGGAAGACACCAGCCTCCCGGCTTTCCCGCCTGCTGGCCACGGCCAGGGCTGCCACGCTCTTGCGTGGCTCTCCTGTGCAATTTGCTGGCCCCTCTCCCAGCCTTTTTTCTGGGGGCCCCCCGGAGGAGGGCGGAGAGGGGGCTGGGAGGGAAGCTCTTTGAAGAGGAAATGAACCCCCCACCCCCAATCCGTTCCAGATGGAGCCAGGAGTGAAACAAGGGCAAGCGTTTCTTACAAAAGGGGCTGAGGCAGAGAGCGGGGTGTAGCGCGGTTCAAAGTTGGGGGGTGGGGAGGCCAGATGACTGCACGCAAATGAGAAACGTATGCGGGTGGAAAACGGGCGAGGCGCGCAAAGTCCCCGGCGAGGCCAAACAGCCCAGACCAAAAAAAAAAAAAGAACATTTTCCACACATCCAGAGAAGACTGATACCCCGTGCAAGCCGATGAAGGGGATGAAAGGCCAGCTCTGTGCGCCCACTCCCCCGCCCGGGGCCCGCCAGCCGCCGGGGTGTGGGCGCCCCCCGGGCCCCCGGATCGGCTGCCTTCCAGTTCTGGGAACGCAGCCTAAGGCAACAGCCGAAGGGTTAGCTAGCACTCCCCCAAGCCCCCAGCGTTATTTATGATGGTAAAATATTGGGGCAAGCCTGTGAGAGGTTAGGAAAATTACGGTTTGTTCAATGGATGGAATATTATGTGGCCATTCAAAATATTTAAGAAGACCACGTGCAAGCATGGAAAAACACTTATGCATAGCGCCATGTCTTAAAAAAGCACAGCCCGGGGTCGTATAGACGGCATGGTGTCTGCAAACACACAGAGCCCCAGTCTGCTCTCCCGGCCCTGCGCACGGAGCAAGGAGGCACTTTCCAAGCTTTCTGCACTTCTGCACAGCCTGGCGCGCCAGGAGGGTGGAGGGCACATGAGGGCTTTTTTCTTTTTCCCCCCTCTTCGTTTGACTTTTACGTATTTTCCAAATCTGGTTTAATGAGGTGTTTTATTTTCATAATGAAAACACAAACAACGTTTGTCAATGGAGAAAGCAGGGGCCAGCCTCACTCGCCCCAGTGTCACTGCAGAATAAGGTGCGGCTGATGGAAGTGAGCTGGCTGGCTCCCCAGCGGGGTCCCCGTGCAGCCCCGAGCCACCCGGCAGCTGCCACAGGAGCCCCACGCCAAACTCCATGGGTGGAAACCCACAGCAGTGGGCCGAACCGTGCCGGGCGCCCAGGAAAGCACCCATTCCTGAGACGGCACTCCCATGAAGCACCCATCCTGTTACACTCAGGCCTGGGGAGACCGCCCCCCCAGGGCCGAGGGTCAAGGAGGGGCCCAGAGAGGCAGTCGTGGGTCCCCCTTCCCCGTGGTCTCCATCTCATCTCTCCTGTCCTTCCTCTTACCCCCACCTGAACAGGCCCCTGCTTGTCTTGGCTGTCACTGCGTCCTGGGGCCAGTCCTCCAGGCCTGCGCTGGGTGACCCCAGGCTGAGCACCCTAGACCCCACTCGACTCCTCCAGGCCTCCCTGCCCCCCCGAGGGGTGCCCACTCCGTCCCGGCACTCACTTGGGCCTTGGTTTCTCTTCTGGTGAACCCGACGACACAGCATGGAGTGGGGGGAGGGCAGAGAGGAAAGAACAGATGAGCGGCAGGGAGGGGGCTGCAGCCGGGGGTCCCCTGAGGGTCACCTGCCTCTCCAGCTGAGCCTAGCCCCTGCCAGCTTGGCCCTGCAGACACACACTCCAGGCCAGGGGACAGTCCCTGAGGGTGGGGCCGGGAGAGGAGCTTGACAGAAAGGAGGAAGAGAGGCGAGGCGAGGCGAGGCGGGCAGGGGGCTGCGGGGGGCAGAGCGGGCCCTCTCCTGCCTCGCCCTCCTCCCGCCTGCCTTCCCGGTGAGCAAGAGAGCTGCCAGCATGGGACCCCTGCAAGCAGAGCGGCGGGCACGGGCCTGGGGCACCCCTCCCCTGTGCCCAGGCCTGGCCCTGGCTGGCAGGGCCTGGGGTGGCCCTGGAGTACCAGGGCCCACCTGGGCTTTGATACCATCCCTAGCTCCGGGTGCCTGCATTCAGGTCTCTCCACCTGGGGTCGGCCAGGACAGTGCCCACGCAGCCACTCTTGGCACTAAGGGCAGGCCCCTTCCACGCCTCAGCTGGCTCTACCCTGACCCTGAGGAGGCCGGGATGGGCCCCAGGGGAGCTGCCCCGCACCTGACCGCTCCCACATTCAGGCCTGCCCACCACCCGGGTTGACCATAGCCAGGCTTGCCCCAGGGAGGTATTGGCTGGCCTGGCCTGGGCACAGTTGGAGTTGCTGCCTCTGGCTTCCGGGCTCCTTGTCTGACCCTGAAGAGCGGCTTGGGCCGGCTCAACTGCACACGTGCCTGGCAGCCCTAACCCCTCCCAGCAGCCTGCTTGGTGTGGGGCCTGAGCAGGAGTACCCTCGTCCCGCCCTTGCCCGGGTGAGCAGGATGTGTCCCAGCCCGGGGGACCAAGGCAGCCCGACAGGGGTGCAGCTGTAGACAGAGCGGGCAGAGCACACTGGGTCCTTGGCTGGTCCCCATCCCCGAGGTCCCCACTGGGGCCTCACCAACCCTGCTACGTGGTCTCACCCCCTCCTCACTTCCCTCCTGAGAAGGGCTGGGGACCTCTGCTCCCCAGCACTGGCCAACAGTTCCTGCCGCCTCCCACTGATGCCCCTAAATGGTCCTTGCCAGGGCCACTCTGGGAAGCCTGTGCCCACCAGCCAGGACTCCAGGCAGCCCAGCCCACTCTGTTCGCAGGGAGGCGGGAGGCGGGCGGCGGGCTGGGGGCAAGGGAAGGGGGCCTACCTTCCTGGACTTCCTCTGTACCAACAGCACCGAGAAAGGCAAGGGAGGGGAGAGAGACAGCTGTGAGCAGGGGCGAGGAGGGGGGAGGAGTTGGGGAGGGGTGGAGGAGGGGAGCAGGGTCCGAGCAGAGCCAGGCTGTGAGTAGGTTATGCACCCCTGGTTCCTTCTCGCCCGTGGCCACGGGAGCCACAAGCGTGGGAGTCACGTCACCTACCTGGCTCGTGAACTTCAGGGGCTAAGGAGGGTGGTGGAACCAGAGGCCAAGCCGTAGGTCAGAGGTCAAAGGAAAGGGATCCGAGGTTAAAGGTCACACCGGCGGGGTGGGGTAGGGGTGTGCAGGGAGCGAGCAAAATCTGTCAGAAGTAGGCTGGGTTCCCGGCCCCCCTCCATCTCCGGCCGCCGCTTCTCCAGGGCCTGGGGTCCACGCAGACCCCAGCTGCCTCTTGGCCGGGCAATCCCCAGCACCGCAGGGCCGCCACGGGCTCCGGACACCCACCCCCTTCCCTCCCGAGGTCGTCTTCGGCCTCTGAGGACCTGGGCGCCCCAGGTCTGGTCGGGAGTTGAGATGCCACAGCGGGAACCCTGGCACGAGGGGGCTCAGCCCCCCTGCCGGCCCCTCCCCGTGTGTGGGGAGGCAGGCCCAGGAGGTGGCCTGCGTCCCTGCCGCTCAAGCGCCTGCTGTGGTTAGTGGGTTACAGGGGGCCACATGTGGGGGCCCCTTGGCCGGCTGGGCCTCGCTGCGCCCCCTCCCCCGCCCCGCGAGGGCTCCAGCCGGCCCCGGGCCCCACATGGGGACCAGAAGTCCTGCCTCTCATACCTTCCTCCTGGACTTCTGTAGGGCAGGGAGCCGGGCACGCGGGCGGGAGGAGAGAGGACACGGGTGAGAGTGGGCCCCGTGCGGCCCATGCGTGCTGGCAGGGCGCTCGGGGCGGATGCCAGAGCCCACTTACCTTCTTCCTGGGCCTCTTCTGAATGTGGGGGCACCCGCAGCAGAAGGAAGCAGAGGCAGAGAGAGAGAGGTGACAAGCACAGGGGTTAGAGAGGGTCTTGGCGGCCCGGACGCAAGCCGGCCGTGCGGGATTTGGCTTGTAGCAGATGGAATTGAGGCCTGGCTAGGGCTGTGTGTGACACTTAGGGGCTTATGCTTTCCTGTCCGCCATTTGGATAGGAAAATGACCCCAGTGTCTCCCAAACATTTCTTCACACGGCACCCGGCAGGAGCCAGCGGCTCAGGCACGTCGGCCGGAGTGGAAACCAGAGCTCCATGCATGGCAGCTGGGGGCACCCACTTGCCCACCTGCCTGGCCACGAAGGAGCTAGAGTTATGACCTGCCTACCAGAGCCAGAGTCAGATCAGAGCCTGGGTAGAGGGGCAGGGGGAGAGAGAGGGGAGGGCAGGAAGACAGAGGAGTTAGGGAGAGAGACAGGGAGGGACAGAGATGGAGAGGGGATGAAGGACAGAGAGAAAAAAGGGGAGAGACAAAGGGTAGGGGGGACAGAGAGAGAGAGAGAAAGAGAGAGAGGAAGTGTGGGAGAGAAAGAGGGAGGGCAAGGGCCTTGTGCCCAACCCTCCGTGTTAATGAGTGAGAGTACAGGCAGATTCCAGGCCACGGCACACACCAGGACCCCCGCCCCGGGGTGCAGCACACACCAGGACCCCCGACCCGGGGGTGCAGCATACACCAGGACCCCCGCCCCGGGGGTGCAGCATACACCAGGACCCCCGCCCCGGGGGTGCAGCATACAAGGCACGAGGCCACTGCAGACCAGGGAGGAGGGGGACGTTAATGGGGACGGGACTGAATTAATGATGGAACCAGCACTCATTAATCGGGTGAGCGCATCCCTAATCGCTTGCCCAGTTAACGATTAGCGATGATCGTTGGTGACGGGTTAACCAGGTGGCAGGTGCTGGTTAATGGACCAGCCCAGGGAGAGGCCCCAGAAGGCCCCCTGGATGGTGGGGGGTGGGGGGAGAAGGCTGGGCTGCCCCCCAAGCAGCAGGGGTGGGGGATGGGCCTGTTTACCTTCCTCCTCGTACTGTTCTGTATTGGGGTGGGACAAAAGAGAGGGGCCTCGTTAGCCGGGCAGGGGCAGCAAGACTCCTCCCTGGACTGCCCAGCCAGGGATGGGGTCTGGGTCCTTGGGCTGCAGGAGCGGGTGGCTCTGGGATGGGGACCACCCTGGGTGCTCTTCCAGCTGTCCAGTGTGGCAGAGCATGACAAAGCCGGGACTGCGGGCCGACTCTGACTCGTCGGTGTGGGCGGGTGGGGCCGGCCAGAGCAGGGGCGCTGAGGGGTGGGCCGGGCAACACGCCAGGCTCCTGGGCCGGGGTCCCTGGGGCCGCTCCCCAGAGGTGCAGCGAGAAGCAGAGGAAGTCACTTACCCTCGACTTGTTCACTGCGGAAGGGAGAGGGAGAGAGAAGAGAAAGGAAGGTGGTGAGGGCCTCGGGTCAGGCAGGCTCTGCGTGGACCTGGGGTCCTGGGGCCTCTGCGGGAAGCCGAGGCCGGGGGAGGCAGGGGTGCTGTGCTGGCGGGGGGTACTCACGCTTCCTCGTCAGACATGGTGGCTGCTGGCTGTTCCTGCAGGGAAAGGGCCCCGGGACAGGGTTAGCGACTACTGCCCCCGGAAACCAGGCTGGGCTCGATGAGGGGGTGGCGTAGGCCCCTCAGCGGGCTGCCACAAGACCCCCGAGTGACAAGTGGAGCCAGAAAGCGGCAAGGGCACATGGCACCCCTCCCATGGAGGGCACAGGGCCGACATCTGGCCTGGCTCAGCACCTCGGGGTGCTCCCCGGCTGGAGCCGGCAACCCGGGTGGGGGACGACCCAGACCTTCCCCAGCGTGCCCACCCCCACGCTCCTGTGAGGACTGCCTTTGGGGATTGCATGCTTTCCTGTAAATTCCCCTGGGTCCCCTGGCCCTCCCGGGCTCACTCTTGCAGAGCCTCAGGGCAGAGGTGCCCTGTCCCCTTGTCGCTCCCTGCCTGGGCTGAGCCCTGAGCTCTCCAGGTGCTCCCAGTCTGGAGCTGCAAGCAGGTTGACACACCACCATGCTGACTGCTCCTGGCCCCAAGCTCCTTGGCCTCCTCCCAGGGCCTTCCCTGGCATGGTGAGGGGCTGTGGGGCCTGTGTGTGTGAGGGGGGGCAGCACCTGTCAGTCCCCATAGGGTGCCAGGACTGGGCTATTTATAAGGCACCAGCTGAGACGTCCAGAAATAGCAAGGCGCCTCCACCAGAAACCCAAGATGGTGGAGGAAGGCCCGCCCCCTAGCCCACACCCTACAAGGTGCCCCGAAGGCCTTCCAGGGGAGGTAGCCAAGGCCAACCTTCAGGCAGGGACACCTAGGCCCCTGTCTGTCCTGGGAAGGGAGCCAGGCTCTGTCAGCCCGGGAGGGCAGGGTGCAGTGGGCCCCTGTGCGTCTCCTTCATCTGCTGTCGGCCACTGGCCATGCCCTCAGCCCCAGCTCCTGTCCAAGCAATGCCACCCATGGGTCCCAGTGTCCTGGCAGAATGGCGGTGAGGGGAGCTGATGGGCCAGGGCTCCGGAGCCCAGCCTCTTCCTCCTCGTCCGATATCCCTGAGACGTGAGGCCCAGCCATCCCTAGATTGACCCACACAAGCCTGGTCCCAGCCTGGGAGCTTGACAGCCACTTGGCCCAGGCAGAGGCAGCTGTGTGCGCTGCCTACCGGCTCCCGGGAGCATCCATGGGAAGGGCCCAGGCAGCCGGGCAGTGCTCCTGGCTCAGGCATTGTCCCTCCTGCTCCCTGTGGTCCTGGGCTGCTGCCTCCACACAGGTGACCATGACCTCCCACTGATGTCCAGTGCACGGAACCATAGGTGTGGGGCAAGGCCTGGGTTCAGGCCTCGTGCTGGAGGGGAACCCCTTGGTGTGCCCCTCCAGTGTGCGCCTCGCCCTGCGTGTGCAGGCAGTCCCAGCTGCCTTTGCCCAGGCAGGTATCTGTCGCCCATACTGACCTGCTGGCCGAGTCTGGGAAAGGGTGAGCTCCTGTGGGATCGGCTACAGACACGGCCCCTGACGCTGGTCCTTGTGTTATAGGGACACCCGATCTCGCCCATCAGCCCATTGGCTGGTGGCGGGCAGGGACAGGGGCCGTGCCCATGCAGGCCCCTTACCAAGTATAGGAAAGGCCGCAGGACGAAGGAGGCCGGAGGAGGAGGCAAGGGCCTCGCCCCCCTTCCAAGTGTCAGCTTCTATTTTTGCCACCAGCAACAGATTGACAAGCAGGGGGCGGGGTGGGGGGCGGGTGGAGGTCAGAGTCCAGGGCTGGCCTCGAGTCACGTCGTGGTGTGGTCCGCAGGGCAGGGTCCCCTCCTTGTGGGTACCCCTTGGCAGTGGACAAGGTGTCTGCCCGGCGGGGCTCCATCCATCATGTCCAGGGGGTCCGTTGGCTACAATGATCTCTGCGGGCTGTCCAGCCACCACACACTGCCCCTCAGGTCATGTCTCTTGGCTCCGAAAGCAGAGGCCCCAATAAACACCCGCATGCGGGCACAGGGCTCGTGTCTGCGACCGGTGGGGCCCAGAGGGAGGACAGCGGCTCCATGTCACAGGTCAAGGGTTAGAGATGCTGTCAGGAGGTGGTCTCGCTCAAAGCCCACCTCCATGTTGGAGAGAAGCCAGGGTCGGGCCGGCCCCTGACTTGGGCAAGCACACTCCAACACCAGCCCACGGCAATGTCTTCGGGGGGGAAGGGTTGTTGTCCTCATCAGCAGCCCACTCTGGCCAGCTCTCTGGCCCATGGGACCTCCTGACCAGCTATGGCTGCCCAGGCCCCAAGCTGGCTCACGAATTGGTTCAGCCAACAGGACCCTGAGTAGGCAGACAAGGGCCCGTGTTGCTGGGGTCAGCCTGTGTCTTACCCAGATTGGCCCAGTTGAGGGGGATGGAGTCTTCAGGGTGGTGCCCGCCGGTGGGGGTACAAGGAGCCCTGCAGTGCCCTGCCTGGCCAGCAGGGGAGGGTAGCTGCCCGCTCCACGCCCTTGGCCTTGGCAGGTGCCCTCTGCTGAGGTCAGAGGAACAGGCAGGGTCTATTTTAGGTGCGGGGACCTCTCCCTCAGGGCACGGGGCCTCGGGCACCGCGGGACCGAGCAGAGTGGGCAGACTTCACGGGCCCCCACAGGTAACCATGCTCTGAGCCTACCTGACCTGGCAGAGCCTCCTTGGGGACAGAGGCAGCTGGGAGGGAGGCTCACGGCAGAGGGCAGCGTAGCAGAGGCCCGGCAGGGCGGCCCGGGGAGCTGAGCTCCTCACTGAGGGCCTGGTGTGAGGCAGGGTCGGGCGGGGGCTACTTCTGGAGGAGCCGGAGACAGTGCACTGAGTCCAGGAGGCAGGGAGGGAGTGGCCCGCGTGCAGGGTGCCCCCCCGGGGTGTCCCTTGATATGGGTGCACATGGTTGGAGGGTCAGAGCCCATAGGACCCTGAGTCTTGTCTGGGTGCTCTAACCTGACCCAAACATCTGAGCAGGCCTAGCCCCCACCCTGCTCTACTTGGGTCCCGGCAGGACCAGAGCGAGGCCACTGACGCAGTTTCAGGGGGCCCAGCTGCTCTGTCCCTGCAGCTATAGCCCTATTCCTACACGTCCTCTGTGGGTGCCCCAGAGGTATCGCATGGACAGCGGCCATTGTGACCCAGGCCTCTGCAGGCTCTGGGGAGTGGGGTGGGCTGGAGTCCTGGAGAGATAGCCCCAAGGCTGGCAAGGAAAGGGGCCTGTGGGGGACCCTAGCTGGGTAGGCTGTAGCCCTGCATGCTTCCGCCGTGGAAGGTCATGGCGGGACATTGAGACCAGAAGTGGCTCTGGAGGGTTTCGACCCTCCTGCGCCCACCCATAGGCCAAGTCAGCAGCTGAGGGGTGGAGCTGGGGACGGTAGAAGTTGGGGCTCAGGGCCCTGTCTTCACAGAGGCTCCCTGCAACCGAGGGAGGCAGGGTGCAGCCACAGGCCCAGGAACATGGGGCAGACTCCCTGTCCTCCACAGCTGGCCCCTTGCCTTTCCTTCCCTCCTTTCCCCTCCACCTGCTGTCAGCCACCTGTCCAACTTTCCACACATTCAGCTCCCATCTGATCATCCCTGGCTTGTCCATGCACCCTCCACCCTTCCACTCAGCTGCCTGTCTGTCCACACACTGACCCATCCATCATCCATCCACTCATCTCTCTGCTGGGATGGAGGCTGACCCCACGGTGGCTTCTGCTCTCAGGGGGCACAGAGCAGGCCACAGCCCAGAGGTGCATCCTGTCCAGATCCGATGAGGCTTGTGTCAGCCCATCCGGCGGGGAGGGGCTGCGGGCCCTGGGCGCCTCCTAGGCCCACAGTCCCGCAGAAGGCCGCAGGCACAGCTGGACCTAGGGGTCTAGACCTGCAGGCCACAGGGCACGGTGCAGGGTGGGAGGGCTGGCTGTGGATCCCCTTCCCCCCAGTGAGCGTGGGCAGAGCCAGTAAATGGGGGACATGGGAACTTTATTACACAGGACATGGGGGATGAGGTGGGAGGGACACAGCATCCTGGACACCTGGCACAGGTTGTTGACTTGGAAGCCAGCTGGCAGGTGCCCCAGGCTCTCCCTGCAGAGTCAGCAGCCCCTGCTGTGGGCACCGGGTAGGGGTGGAGGCCTCTGCCCCCCATGGGGACCGGGTGGGGGTGGACGTCTCTGTAGCTGGGATGCAGGAGTCTCCTTCCCTAGCAGGGAGTGGCAGAACTGGGGTTCAGACAGAGAGGCTGCAGAAGCACGCAGCCGCTGGCACCTGAAACGCAGGCAGGGGTGCAGGCCCGTGAGCAGGGCTGAGGAGCAGCCTCAGCCCTGCTGTCTGTTCCCTTCCACACCCCTGGCCTGTCCAGTAGCCAGGGGGCCCTCTCTCCACACTCGCCCTTCCAGCAGGAGCAGAGCCGCAGCCACAGCATCCACCTGGGAGGCCTGCTTTTGCTGGGGTGAGCTCCCTGCGCCATGGCCAGGCCCCTCCACTGCGCTGTGCCTGTCAGCCCTGGCAGACCCCAGGAGCAAGGCCCCTGTGTGCCGGCGGGCCTAGGGTTGGCCTGCTACAAGGCAGCCTCCTCCGGCCCTTCCCCCAGCAGCTCCCTGGCCCTACAGACGCAGCCAGCCCCCGCGGCGGCAGACAGGGGCCTCCCTCCTCCCCAAACCAGACAGCCACGGGCACAGCCCCAACGCCATTTGTCAACGTCCTTGCAAACACGTGGCGCCCAGAAAGGCAGGCAGCTCAGCCAGGACCACCAGGGTCTGCACAGCTCAGCGAAAACGGCTCCCACCTTCCGGCCCAGCCACCTCCACTGGTGTGGCCGCAGCCTCCCTGGGCCCCCCTGGCCGCCAGCCCTCACTGCTGGCTCGCTCGGACGGGTGCGTCTGCGGTCGGCCGAGACTGCGCGGCGCCCTTCACACGTCTGCAGGCGGCCGGCAGCCAACCAGGCACAGGCCTCCCACTTGGAGCCAGCCCCTGGGTCTCCTGCCCCCAGCCCGCCCGGCGCCCTGGCAAGCATAGGGGCTCTGCTTGGGGAGTCTCTTACTTGAGGGCGGCCATGGGCCTGGAGTCTACCCCGGGGTGGCGGAACCTGCCCAGTACCCTGTGTGTGTTGAGGTGGGGGGCCCTGTGTGTCTATCCGGGTTGGAGAGGGCAGACTTGACCAGTCCCCACCCATCCTTCCCACCCTAGGCGCCACCATGTCCATCCGGGCTGCATCGGTGTTCCCAGCCCAGGGGCCGGCCGGACCCCCGCCCCCGCTGCTGCCCAAGCCAGGGAAGGACAACGCCCGCCTGCAGAGGCTGCTGCGCAAGGCAGCTCGCAGGATGGCCGCGGCCCCGCCTGGGACCTTCCGTGCCTCCCTGTCCCCTGTCAGTGAGGCCAGCCACGACCTGGAGGCCACAGCCCTGCCCCGCGCTGAGGCCGCCCACACCCTGCACACGCCTGTCACCTACCATGTGGCCTCACCCCCACACAGGCCTCCATTTGCCTTCCGCCCTGACCAGCAGTGGGCTCCAGCTGCCCCTACCTCAGAACCGACCACGGGCTCTGCGTCCATCTCAGTCCTGGCCACGGAGGACACCTATGTCACCCAGCTGCACCTTCGGTTGGCACCGTCCCCGTCCAGGGGGGCCACAGGCAGGGACCGAGATGCAGGGGCCCAGCCCCTGATCCCAGTGGCCCACATTCGCCCGCTGCCTGCGGGGGCCCAGGGGTCCAGTCCTCAACCCCAGGAGCCACCTGTGACCAGGACACTGCCCAATTTCCAGACCCTGGGTCCCAAAGAGGGCAGCACCAGGGTGGTGGTGCCCATAGCCCCCACATGCCACTCCCCAGGACCCTTGTCTTACTGCCCGGCTGCTGCAGTGCCTGACAGCGAACACACACAGGATGCCCCCAGGACTGGCCCTGCAGCAGAGGCCTCGCCTGCCTTGGGCCCGCACCCATGCCCTGTCCCCAGGGTTGTGCCCAAGCCCCGGCTCAGCGGCTGGACGCGTCTGAAAAAGCAGCTGATGGAAGAGGCCTCACTCCCGGGGCCCATGCAGCAGGAGGCACCCCAGCCGGGCAGCCCTCGGCCCCCCGCCTCCCGGGCCTCCCGCATGTGGGACGCAGTGCTGTATCACATGTCTGTGGAGTCCCGCGGCAGCCATGCGGGGGTGCCTGGGACTGGGGAGCAGCGCCCCCCTGGCCGTCCCCAACTGCCCCTCCTCTGTGGGCCTCGCTTCAACGCCCGGAAGCTGCTGGAGGCAGCCCGGCCCCCTCCCCAGCGCCTTGCCACCATGGAGCTGAACCTGCAACCTAAGAATTTCAACCGGACGGCCAGTGGCTGGAAGCTCCCGTGAGGGCCTAGGTCTGAGGCGGCATGGACTGAGGGGCTGGGGAGCGGGAGATGGGGAGGGAAGGGCCAGGTGACGGATCGAGGGCGGCAGAAGAGGTATTGTGCAGGTTCTGTGGGGGGTGGAGGGGTGCAAGCCGGACAGAATCTAGCAAGGCAGAGCGCTCCCCCGGGCAGGAGGGGCTGTTGTCACCTTGCAGGTCTGACACTGGGACCGGGGGTGACCCGGAGAGCTCGGGCGCAGGTTTCTGCAGGGGTTGTGGCAGACTAGTTGGGCTAGGGAAGCGAAGGGTTGCCAGTGTTGGGAAGAGAGTGGGGGGTCTAGGGGAGCAGCCCCTGGTCTGTAATCGGTCAAGCTTTGCAAGGCAGCCAGCCCGGGGCAGGCACCGGGACCAGGGCAGGGTCAGGACTCCGGGAAGCTGGGTGCTGGGCACGGGTCTGTGGCCTCGTACTATAAACACTGTCTGACCTGCAGGGGCACGGCTTCCTGTTTTCATTGGGGACGGCCGGAACCCCCCCTTCCCTGCAGCCCCGGGGCTGCCGTGGGAGGGCTCTGAGCTCCAGGGGCCTCTCCCTCTCTGGGTCTGTAGGGAAACACAGTTCCAAGGGCTCTGGCCCAGGAACCACCCGCACCCCCCTAAGGAGCCCAGGGGTGACCAGCAGGTACCCCAAAGGGAAGGGGCGGTGGCTGCCTGCGTCACCCAGCGCATGGCCTGGCTGAGAGCCCCCTCACGCTGTGCTCACCGGGTCGGGAGGCCTATGTGGCCGAGCCCTCGTCCACCAGCACCTTCTCATACTTCCCGTGTCCGGTGGCCACAAACTTGTACCTCTTCCCTGACGGGGTGCTCTGCGGGGACAGAAGCCGAGAGGAGACGTGAGCGCAGGAGGGGGCTCTGCCTTCGGGAGTCGCTCTGGGCCATCCGCGCTGGTCGCGTGCCCGCAGACCCCACCTTGACAGTCGAGGAGGTCGTGGAGCCTCCTCTCTGCTCCCAGAAGCTTCTCTTGCTCAGGTCTCCCGCCACAATGTCCTGGGTGGAGGGGACACAGAGACATCGCAGGCACCCCCTGTGGTCACGCCCCTGGCACAGCCGAGAAGGGCCTCCCCCGCCCTGCCTTGCCCCTACCTTGTTGGAGGTGGTCTTGGCGGCAGACTGAGTCTGCACCTGCCCCGTCTCCCAGAGGTTCTTGGTGTTGGCCACAGCCATGCTGGGCAGCTCTATGGAGGGCTGCCGGGCTAGCTTGGGCGCCCTGCCTGCGGTCTGCAGAGAAGACAGGGCGCTGGTAGGTGGGGTGGCCAGCCGCCGCGGGTCACACCGGCAGGCCCGTGGCAGAGGTCTCCTGCATGTCTCTCCCCGTTGGTGCTTGTCTGACCCAGGGTGGGGTCAGGTACCCTTCACTGCTGTGCCATCCTTCACTGAACCAAGGAGAGGGGCACTTCTTGACATGAGGGGGGCACAGTGGCATGTGAGAGTGGGGCTCTATCTGCACACGGGCTGGACCTAGGGGCATTGGCTGGGCAAAGGGTGGGTGGCTGGAGGGAGGGCAGCCCAGTGGGGAAGAGGTGCTGGCCGGCTAGGCCGAGGGCTGTGGGTTGGATGCATGGAGGGACAGGCCTTGGATGCGAGGGCATCGGATGTAGGTGAAGTGGGCAGGGGCAGGTGAGTGGGCAGAGGGCTTCGGGTGGCTCTCGTTAGGAGTCCCAGTGGCAGCAGGGAAGTGGTGGTTCTGTCCAAGGGCCTACCTCGACGGCCTGCGTGTACTGTCCCAGTCTCTCGTCAATCTTGGCAACCGGCAAGGTGGGCTGGGTCTTGCTCTCGCTGCTGCTGTGGGGGTCAGGGGTGGGTCTCACGCCCCGTCCGTGGGCATCCTGACACCGTTCCCGGAGCCCTCCCACTACCCGAGGGCCCTCCCTGGACATTCACTGTCCTCCACCCCTCCAAGTCCCCAGCCCCAACAGCACCCACCTGGCCGGCACAGAGAGGCTCAAGGACTCGGTCCTGTCTCTGAGCTGTCGAGGGAGGGGTGGCAGAGATGTGGGCTGGGGGCAGCCAGGACACCGTCCTCCCCTGGCCGCCCAGCACCCTGGCCTCAGCACCCCTTGCAAGTGCTGGCTGGGCCCTGCCAGCTCGAGAGCCGTGGCACGGCCTGGGTCGAGGCCTACCTTGGTGGTGGGGCTCTGGGGAGGTGAGTTCCGCCCTTCCGTCGTCTCCATGAGCAGGGGACTGGGCGTCCTGGGTGGCTGCCAGTTCTCACGCTAGGAGTGGAGACCCCAGGCTGACCCAGGGGCACCTCCTCATGCCTTCCCCGCCCCGCTCTGGGCAGCCCGTGGGAGCCTGATGCTGGCTCGTTTCCCCCCCGCCCGGCCTCGAGTCTCCAGGCAGGCCGTGTCATTGTCCCCAAGGCTCCCTGGCCTCACCACCCCCACCCCTGGGAAGGGGCCACAGAGCCCAGAGCCCCAGGCAGGCGCGGCCAGGGCACCCACGTCACCTCCTGTGCCTGGGTGTCCTCCAGGTTCGGCCCCTGCGGGTGGGCCTCGGCGCGGTTCCGGTCAGCCCTGTCCTCCACGTGGTCCTCACAGGCATGCTGCACGGGTCTGTGCGGGGAGGGAGGGTGCCTCAGCCCAGGGCCGGCAGCTTCCCCTCAGCCTAGGCTTTGTGGGCAAGGGGGCTCTGAGCTGAGGCCGCAGCCGCTGCCCCAGCCCCGCTGGACGCAAGGAGAGGGTGATGGCTGCGGCCCCAGCTACACTGCTGCCTGGGGACTCTGCGACCGCGTGCCTGGGTGGCCGGCCCTGCTCAGTAGGAGGGCATGGGGCTCGTGGAGTGAGGGGGGAGGTGGGTCTGTGGGATTTTAGGGGGCCGTGTGTGGAGGAGGCCAGGGTGTGTGGGAGAGGGGCTGACGGCCAGCCTCGGGGCAGGGAGTCCAGACCACTGGCAATCCGGGAAGCGCAGTCCTCTCACACCTTGCTGACTTCTGGCCTCTCGGTGTCCGAGCCAGTGGAGACCCCGGCCCAGCCGCCCAGCGTGGACCGTGGTCCGGGCTGGAGGCAGCCACGTGTAGGCACAGAGGGGGCTGTGCAGGTACGGGGGATGGGATGGCGGGCAGCCCAGCCAGGCTCAGCAGAAGGGCTAAAGTGCCCCCTGCCGGCAGAGCCCGACAGTGCAGGCGCCCGGCTGCCTGGGGCGGCTGACTTCCCCACCACGGGCAATCGAGACACTGAGGCCCCAGAGTGGTGGGCAGGGAGCCAGGCCGGAGGCCCCCCGAAAGGCAGTGGGGCCTCGAGGAGCGGGGCTGTGTGCAGGATGGAGCCGAGAGGCCGTGGGACAGCACAGACTTGGCCAGCACTAGGGCTGGCGCCAGGGCTGCCTCTGTGGACAGATCTGGGGAGAGAGCTGGTTCCTGCTCCAGGCTGAGGGGGGCCCCTGTGCCCCCACATCCAAACCCGAGCCAGCTTCCCAAGGTGGGGGTTGGGGGGCCCAGGTCGCAGCCTGCAGAGCAGGGAGGGTAAAGGTGAGAGCCCCCTCCCCGTCCCCCAACCCCTCCATCTGGAAAGCAGCACGCACACTCCCTCCGTGGGAATGGAGCCCGGCCAGCCCCGAGGGAGGAAGGGGCGGGCGGCCGGGGGCTGCGGGGGCCCCATTCCGTAAGTGGGCTGCAGCTGCGGGCTGGCGTGGCCGGGGGCCCTGGGGAGCCCAGGAATGAGGCTTCTCACCGCCCCGCCCCACTGTCTAGCTCTCTTCCTCTGCTCCCCCCCTCCTCACAGCCGAGGGGACATTTCGGGGTTCTGGCTGGGAAAGGGGGGGCAGAGGCCGCTGTTCACGTACGGGCTGGGGGACTTGCACTGCTCCTGCTGCTGCTCCCCGTGCAGACTCCTGCCCAAGACGGGGTCCCGGCCATCCTCTGGGGTCTCCTGGGCGCCCCCGCACTGCTGCCGCGGCTCTGGCTTCTGGGACCAGTCTCCAAAGCCCTCATCCTCGTCCGTTTCGGGGGCCTGGGGGGGCTTCGGGCTGCAATGGGGGGGATGCAGCCCAGGCTTAGCTGCTGGCTGGGCCCCCCAGCCCCACACCCTTACCAGGCCCTGGGGTCCCTGGCTCTACTGTGTTCAGAGAGCCCCCACAGACGGGCTCTGCTCCCTTGTCACTCGGGCCCTGCTGCGGGCACGGCCACACCTCGCACAGCAGTTCAGGTCTGTGTTAAACCAGTGCTGTGCCTCCTCCATATGTCTGGGACCCCCTCAGGGCAGGGCTGTGCTGTGTCCCCCAACCAGTGTGGGGCTCCCCAAGGGCAGGGCTGTGTCCCCCACAGCCAGTGTGGGACTCCCCAAGGGCAGGGCTGTGTCCCCCACAGCCAGTGTGGGGTTCCCCAAGGGCAGGGCTGTGTCCCCCAACCAGTGTGGGGCTCCCCAAGGGCAGGGCTGTTCCCCCAACCAGTGTGGGGCTCCCCAAGGGCAGGGCTGTGTCCCCCACAGCCAGTGTGGGGTTCCCCAAGGGCAGGGCTGTGTCCCCCAACCAGTGTGGGGCTCCCCAAGGGCAGGGCTGTGTCCCCCAACCAGAGTGGGGCTCCCCAAGGGCAGGGCTGTGTCCCCCACAGCCAGTGTGGGGTTCCCCAAGGGCAGGGCTGTGTCCCCCAACCAGAGTGTGGGGCTCCCCAAGGGCAGGGCTGTGTCCCCCAACCAGAGTGGGGCTCCCCAAGGGCAGGGCTGTGTCCCCCACAGCCAGTGTGGGGCTCCCCAAGGGCAGGGCTGTGTCCCCCAATCAGAGTGGGGCTCCCCAAGGGCAGGGCTGTCCCCCACAGCCAGTGTGGGGCTCCCCAAGGGCAGGGCTGTGTCCCCCACAGCCAGTGTGGGGCTCCCCAAGGGCAGGGCTGTTCCCCCAACCAGTGTGGGGCTCCCCAAGGGCAGGGCTGTGTCCCCCAACCAGTGTGGGGCTCCCCAAGGGCAGGGCTGTCCCCCACAGCCAGTGTGGGGCTCCCCAAGGGCAGGGCTGTGTCCCCCACAGCCAGTGTGGGGCTCCCCAAGGGCAGGGCTGTGTTCCCCACAGCCAGTGTGGGGCTCCCCAAGGGCAGGGCTGTGTCCCCCAACCAGTGTGGGGCTCCCCAAGGGCAGGGCTGTCCCCCACAGCCAGTGTGGGGCTCCCCAAGGGCAGGGCTGTGTCCCCCACAGCCAGTGTGGGGCTCCCCAAGGGCAGGGCTGTGTTCCCCACAGCCAGTGTGGGGCTCCCCAAGGGCAGGGCTGTGTCCCCCACAGCCAGTGTGGGGCTCCCCAAGGGCAGGGCTGTGTTCCCCAACCAGTGTGGGGCTCCCCTACAGCCTGGGGCTAAGCCTTCTCCCCAAGCCCAAGTCTGTCTAAGGGTCTGTTGTGTTTCCACCATTAGCTTGACTCTGAGAACTGAGCTGTGCCTCTTCCATCAGTCTGGGGTTCCCCAAGAACACGTCTGTGCCCCGCAACCCCAGCCTTGCAGTGCTGCCACGTGGCGGGCCGCGCTGTGCGGGCGGGGAGGGCCTGGAAGGTTCTCAGGGTGAGGGCCGACCTGGCCAAGCAGCACTCCAGCCCGCCCAGGGTTGCTGACTTGGGAAAACGGAGCAGATCGGGGCCCGGGGAAGGGAGGCGTTATTGGAAAAACAGCCCAGCCCAGCCGCGGGGGCCTCACGGGCCTTGGGAGGAAGCACGCCGGCCCGTGGCCGCCAGCTTGGCCGCGGGGAGCTGGGGCCCGGGCTGGGGTCAGCGCTGGTGCAAGCCAGGGCCGGGACACGTCGGCACCCAGAGTCAGAGCTGGCAAGGCATCCAGCGGTCAGGGCCACCCAGGGCTGCTGGCCACCTCAGACCCCAGGGCGCTCCCCACATGCCTGCCGCATGCCCGCTGGATGCCCGCTGGGAATCTGGGGTCCGGGGCCCGGGGCGGGGGGCTCACAGCATTTCCTGCTCCAGCAGTTCACAGGGAGGGCTGTTCCCATCTCCATCCTTGGCCTGCTGCTCCTGCTGCTCCACAGCGGCCTCCTGCGTGTCCTCTGCACCCCACTGAGCCGTGAACCTGGAGCCAGAGGGGGACAGTCAAGTGCCAGCCACCACGGGCACCACCCTGCGTGCCGCAGGATTGCGTGCGGGACAAGCCCTGAAAGCCAGCACCTAGGCCAGTAGTTTGTGCCTCAGTTTACCCATGTTTCAAGCACAGGCCACACAAGACGGGGAGGAAGGCACGCTCCCCTGGCCCCAAGGGTGGTGTCAAGGCTCTGCTGACCAGACCCCTACTGTCCACACAGGCTGGAGGGACACAGGACAGCAGGACTGGGCCCAGCGTGGCTTCGGCTGCAGGAGAGCTGCCCGGGACCAAATGGCCTTGGCCAGGGTCACTGCTGGGGACTCCATGTCGCCCTTCTCAGCCCAGGGGTGTGTGGCACTGGGAGACAGCGCCCTTGTCCACGAGGGCCAGGCCTCCGAGAGACCATCAGCCCCACCCCATCAGCACCGGGGGACGGGAGGGGTCCAGCAGCCCTGTCTGCAGGGGCAGGGGGCTTGCAGACCCTCGCTCTGATCACAGGATCTTCCCGGGAGGACTCTGGGATACGGCAGAGATGGGGAAACTGCGGCTCAAGACCCCCCAGCAGCCCCCAGCATCCCGGGGCTAGGGGATAGCTGGAGAAGTGCCCAGTGTGCTTGCAGGCACGGGGAACCAGGGCCCTCCAAGGGCACACAGGGCTGGGGTCTCCCAGCCAGTGTCCGCTGTGTGACCCCACGGCTGGCTCCCCACACCCCGCTCCAGGCCTCCGGCCCCTGGCCAGGCCGCGCTGTAGTCCGTGAGCTCGCTCCCCCTCTCTTGGGTCTCCCCTAAGCCTCACAGACGAAAGCCAGGCCTCTCCCCGGGCCCCGGGCCAGGGCCAGCTCCCCACGGCTGCCACGTGGGACGGCAGCTGCAGGCCGCCCGCTCAAGCCCACACCCCTCCCCTCGCCCCACCGCCCAGCGCCACATCAGCACCTCCAGCTGGGGCTGGGATGCCTGGGCCTTCACCCCTGCTTCTCCGGCCTGGAGTGAGAGAGCTGGGGTACCCCAAGTGCCAATCCTGACAGCCTGACACACTGCAGGCTCACACACACACACTACAGGCTCACACACACACTGCAGCCTCACACACACACTGTAGCCTCACACACACACTGCAGGCTCACACACACACACTGCAGCCTCACACACACACTACAGAATCATATAACACACTACAGGCTCACACACACTGCAGGCTCACACACACAGTATAGCCTCACACACACACACACTGCAGGCTCACACACACACACTGCAGCCTCACACACACACACTACAGCCTCACACACACACTGCAGGCTCACATACTGCAGCCTCACACACACACTGCAGGCTCACACACACACACTGCAGCCTCACACACACACACTACAGCCTCACACACACATTGCAGGCTCACACACTGCAGGCTCACACACATACTGCAGCCTCACATACACACTACAGGCTCACACACACACTACAGGCTCACACACACAGTACAGCCTCACACACACACAGTACAGCCTCACACACACAGTACAGCCTCACACACACTACAGGCTCACACACACACTACAGGCTCACACACACACTGCAGGCTCACACACACACTGCAGCCTCACACACACACTGCAGCCTCACACACACAGTACAGCCTCACACACACACTGCAGCCTCACACACACTACAGGCTCACACACACAGTACAGCCTCACACACACACTGCAGGCTCACACACACAGTACAGCCTCACACACACATTGCAGGCTCACACACTGCAGCCTCACACACACACTGCAGGCTCACACACACACTGCAGCCTCACACACACACTACAGGCTCACACACACACATAGTACAGGCTCACACACACAGTACAGCCTCACACACACACAGTACAGCCTCACACACACAGTACAGCCTCACACACACAGTACAGCCTCACACACACACTGCAGGCTCACACACACACTGCAGCCTCACACACACACTACAGGCTCACACACACAGTACAGCCTCACACACACTACAGGCTCACACACACAGTACAGCCTCACACACACAGTACAGCCTCACACACACAGTACAGCCTCACACACACTACAGGCTCACACACACACTACAGGCTCACACACACACTGCAGGCTCACACACACACTGCAGCCTCACACACACACTACAGGCTCACACACACAGTACAGGCTCACACACACAGTACAGCCTCACACACACACAGTACAGCCTCACACACACAGTACAGCCTCACACACACTACAGGCTCACACACACACTACAGGCTCACACACACACTGCAGCCTCACACACACTGCAGCCTCACACACACACTACAGGCTCACACACACACTGCAGCCTCACACACACAGTACAGCCTCACACACACACACACTACAGGCTCACACACACACTGCAGCCTCACACACACACACTGCAGCCTCACACACACTGCAGCCTCACACACACACACACACACTACAGGCTCACACACACACTGCAGCCTCACACACACACTGCATCCTCACACACACACTACAGGCTCACACAGGGTACTCATCCTCACATGTGCTCACAACACCCATTCACACACAGCACACACGGACGTGCTCACACACTATAAACGGATGCCTTGTGCATGTGTGGGCTTGGACACGGGCGGTGGAAGGGCTCCCAGAACGGCAAGTCCTGCCCCACTGCGGGGACCCCTGGGTGTGCCCTGCTGCCCCGAGAGATGGGTGCTAGCCCCAGCAGGAGGTCGACACGTGCTTTCTGATAACCAAAGCCCCGGGGACCCAGCGTTGCCCTAGACTAGACCCTGGGTGGCGGGAGGGGACACTCAGAAGGGGGCAAGGACCACACTGGATTTGGGGCTCTTGTGCTGTGGTGCCCGTGGGCAGCTCCTCCTGTGCCCAGGCTCTGTGGAACAGGCCGTGGTGTTTGCGGTGGGGGAGGTCTGCCCTGTCTCCAGGCCGGGAAGCAGCCTACAGTCCCCCAACTGCTGACCCAGCAGCCCGAGGACTGGGAGGCCCCCCAGCCCCTTCCCGCCTCCTCCCTTCCCGCCCGCCCGCAGGCCCCCGGATGTGAGTCATGCGGGCCCCCTCCCCATGACCTCACTCCCTCACTATTCCACAGCTGGGCCCCGTTCTGGGAACCGGGAGGGGGGAGGCTCTCCTGGGCTGGGCTGGGGGCCCCTGGCCTGGGAAAGGCGCCCCATGGCCAGCAGCCCAGCCCCTCTGGCGCGCGCGCGCTGGAGCCGTCAGGGCGCTGGCGCAGCCCCGCGCAGCTGTAACGGATTTGGTGTTCCATTTCCTGTGTCTGCTCTGGCTGCCGCACAGCCTGGGGTTCAGCCTGAGGGGCCAGGCTGGGGGCTGTGCTCTGTGCGTCTACCCGTCCCGTCGCACATGGGGAGGCCATACAGAGACCCCAGACCCGTGCCCGCACACTCCTCCCCCTACTGCTCAGCCCCCACAATTCTGGAAGGGGGGTTCCAGCCCCATCCCCTCCCTGACCCCTGCCGGCGCCTCGGCAGCTGCCCCTGGCAGCCTGAGAACAGGGTGGGGCAGCAGGAGCTGTGTTCTAAGCCTAGGGTACTTGAGGGTCCAATCGGGCACTTGTGGGGCTGGGGGGGGGCACCCAGGCAGCACAGGAGAACACCCCCTACCACCACCCTGTGGCTGACAGTCCTTCCGTGTTCAGGGCAGGAAGGACACCTGGCCCTCAGGTGACCGCACAGAGCAGGGGACGAGACGCTGCCTAGTGCCCCAGGCCCTGGGACCACCCTAGGATAAAAGGCGGGTCTGAGGCACCCCCTAGCCTGTGGTCGCACACGGTGGATCTCTCCACGGGGAGGCCCTTGGCCCCCCCACCCACGCTGACCACCATGGACAGGGCGGGAATGGCAGCTCCTGGCACTGCCCAGCTCAGGCTCGAGGGAGATGCAGTGACAGGATGGGCACCATTTGTCCCCTTCAGGAGCGGACAGGGAGCTGGCTCTGGGATGGGCGACCTCCGAGAGACCCAGAGAACCATAGAGGGAGGCTGCAAAGGGGTTCTTTCTGGCTCTCGCAGGCCCCTGCGCCCCTGGCCACAGAGCGAGTCCTGGCTCGGGGGGCTCAGGTTCCCTCTTGCCTCTCTCTGCTGCCCCTCCCCAGCCTCTGGCACAAGAGCCGATGGGTGGGAGACTCACCCAACGTACTAGGAGGTCCCCGGGGCTGGGACTCGGCCGGCTTGACCTCTAGACAGGACAGCACTGCAGGACCTGGCAGGGGACTCTCAGGAGACCACCCAGTTGAAGAGCAGGGGGACTGGGGGCTTTGGGAACCCATGGAGGGTTCTGAGCTTGGAGGGGTGAGCACAGCTAAGCTGCCCTGGGAAGATGACTGACCACAAGACACTGGAGCCCAGGCCAGGTGGGCCACACCCAGCTGAAAGGGGACCCTGTGACACGGGGCCGGGGACTGCTTCTGCTGCAGCGATGGCTGGCTCCTGCTGAGGTGGTAGGGCCCTGCGTGCTGAGGACTTACAGTTACTGGTGCTGGGACGGTGGCCTCCATGCAGCCGGGCAAGGGGCATTGGCCCTCACTGGCTGGCAAGAGCCAAGGCCCTTGGGGCAGGGCCAACTTTTGCCGGCCCCATCTGGGATGGCTCCCTGGAGGGGTCCTTGCCAGCACAGGACACTGGCTGGCCTCGTTCACAGCTCGGGGCGGGCTGACTGCGGACTGGGGGTGGTGGGTAACGAGTGGACGTTCCCTCCACGGCACGCAGACTCATCCCCCCGTGCCGGGAGGAGGTGCTGTGTAACCTAGCCCCTCTCGGATGGAGCCTCCGGGTGGAAAAGGCCCTGTCAGGTGAAGGGGCAGTGGCGGGTCTGGAGTTTCCTCCCATCTCCTCCAGGACCCAAGAGGCCCCTGAAGGCTTTCCCCAAACACCCCCACTTTCCCTCCTGGTGGGAAGCAGGCACTCAGAACCCCCAGACCAGAGGAGCCTGTCCTTAG